TGTGTCTTGTGACAGATAATTTTCTATTCTGTTTGATTGCCATAAAAAGGCTTCATTTAGCTGCTGAGTCTCTTTCTTGCCTTGGTTCCTGCCACTCAGTTGATCTTCTTTGCAACCCTGAGCTGCTAGTCACCTCCCTGGGCTCACAGGGTGTCAGGACACAATGTTCACAGTGTGTCATTCCTCCATCAACCCAGCTTGCCGATGTGAGGAGGAGCCCAGCAGCAACGGGCCTTATTCTGTTTCATCCTTCACAGCACTAACCCTGCGAATGATCGCAGTATCACCATAGTATTAAACTGGTAGGATAAGGGATTACCATAGCTTCAGGGGACAGGCAGAGGATTTCTGTTGTCACCTTTGTTACGACCTGTCTCTCCTTCCTGTTTCTCAGTTGATTCTCTTTTGGATACTCCGCCTCAGAACAGAGATTGTTGTGCCAATTGTCAGGAAGAGCATTAGGACCAGTTCTTTCTCTCTCCATCACACCCAAGGCTGAGATTAGATCAGGGATTCAATACCTCAGAAAAATAAGGATACCTCCTTCATCCATTCTGTCTTTGATTCACTGGACTCACATGCTTTGTGCCTCCACCCTGCCCCAGTAGACATGCAAAAGCAGAAGAGGTACCCATGGCTCCGAGTAGGGGGAAAGGAAAGAGAAGAAAATTGCTGAGGTGGAGTTGCAAAGGGATTGCATGTCATAGCCAAGACTCAAGTCAAATCACAAAAAGAGGGAAGAGCAGGGCCAGATGTAGTTACTGTTCTTATCCATGACCTATTATTAGAACACAAGTTGCAAGGGAAACCTCTTTGGAGGAGGCAGCAGGAAAACAGTTTGTACTCTCAAAAAGCTGGAACGCTAATTGCAAGTGCAACAGCTCTGTTAAAAATGAAGTAGTTCGGTGTTTGGAATAAATAGTCCTTCATATTATTATTGAAGATAGTTGCAATGGGCAGTCCACATCAAGGAAGACAGGGTGTTTAACAGAAAAGTGAGACAACACCTAAATGTCAGAAAAACAGTCACCACAGATGGCCTTGAGCGCTCCATTTCCTGAAGAAACAACTTAAACAAACATTGAGGACAACGACAGTTGGAACAACACACAAAAAGGGGTCTGTATGCAGAGTTTATGAAAGCAAAAGTTGGAAAACATGGGCACAAGTCTTGTTAATACTTCAGGAGGGAATAATAAGAAGCATACATAATATTGCTGCTAGAAATCATTCTCTATATTCTTCAATACCTGATAAAATCTGTTACATCATGACAGATAGATGAAAATGTAAAAGAAAGAAAGAGAAAGAAAAGGGAAATCAGAGAAATCTGGGCTAGAGAACAGAAAATTGGCTTTTCTGTCTATCTGTTTAATGGTCAGACCAATATATACATGTTGATTTGACAAATAATTAAATATTTTAATCTTTTTTTCTGTTGAAATGGAAAATAAACCTCAAACCATATTTGTATGTTTTATGGAAATGAAATGTTTAGGAACTTACATCAAACCAAAACAAACACATAAAGGACTGGCTTTTTAAAAGATCCAAAACAACATCACTCACAGCATCCATTTCCCCTTTTGAAAAGTAATTCAGAGGTAGGGGGTGTAGGAGGTCTGTGCCTGACAGATGTCTCACACAAGGAATTTTAAGTGTATTATCATAAACAGAGTAGACCCTGCCTATTTTACTGTTGAGTAGCATCAATAAGGGTTACTATCAGTCTTTTTGTGTTGAAGCAGTTAAAAGAACTAAATCATAAGATTTACAAAACAAGAGTGAACCTCTAGCCTGGTTGTTAAGAGAGTTTCCTCAGAACAGAAAAATCTACACTCCAATTCCCTCTACCTTTGATTCAGAACATGGATTTTAAGAATATCTTCATTCACTACCAGCATATAGAATCTGTGGATTATTTCAAGTCCTGAAACAAAGCAGAGCAGGAGATTACCCTCCTTGAGAATAGACTTCCTAGTGGTAGGAGTATAAATTTAGATAAATTTCAGGGTTTCATTACCTGGAGAAAGGCATATCATTCTGCCCTACCAATGGAATTATTAAATAAAAAGCATCAGCACTGGTTTTTAATTCTTTTTCCGTGGCTGAAACTATTTGCCTAATTTTGTCTGAGTTCACTAATAACGCAGGACAAGAGTGATAGAGTATTTCATGAATAACTGGTTTATTGAAAAAACCTGGCTTCACTCAGCACTGCTGGTATCCACATGTAACTTTCAATGCACCAGTCCCTAATTAGGAACAGCTTTTGTTTGTGGAACATGTGATTCCAGTTTCTTCACTATTTCTCTTATAAAAAGACTGGGGGGAGGGGGGAATAAAGCCTTAGAAAAGAGATTTCCAAATATACCGTATCTGCAAGACAGAATCAGCCTGGATCTGCGCACGTGCATAGAAGAAGGTGCCTGAGCAGCAAGGCACGCTGTTCTGCTGCGGTATGTGTACTGCAGACAGTAAAGCGCTTCCCCTAGAGAAAAGCAGATGCAGCTGAACTGCCAGGAAATGGATGAAATCAGAACAGCTATTAATGCAGCATGAATAAACTTGCTTAAGCTAAAAAGGACTGAAGGAACAAAACCAAATTAAGCTGATCAAGAGGCCCATAGGAGGGTCAAATGCGTGTACTGTAGAAAGTAAGATAGAAGAATACTCAGACTACCAGCAACAGTGCAAGGGATGTGAGAAATGAAACTGTTTTGGGAAAGGCTTCAAATTCATTACAATATAGAGATGTTTGAACTAGCTCTGACAGAGTAAGCATAGGACTTAGAAATAATATTAACTACATTAATGAGGAAGAATGTAAAATAGCTAAGGCAGACCATGATGCAAAAGGAGTTATTTTGCTTCAGATGCTTGACCTGAGGTGTTTAGTACTGCTATGAGTATCATTATACAGACAGTGCGATGCCATGGAGACCTATCCTTTATTTCTCAAAGGGTAAACAATTTTGGAAAATAAATGCAATTATGAAGCAGACTTTCAGTCAAGAGGAGAATGTTTACTAGCTGACTTAGGAATGTGAAAGAATCTCTGCTACACATTGAAAAAATGGGATATTATCTTTTCAGTGACCAATATTGCAATTTTGGTATTGTAGTAACTAGTCTGACTCCAGATGGGTAGTGATACTAGCTGCAATATAATATCAGCAATGCTGATACATTTGCAAATTTTTGCAACCATTGGATGCAGAAAGGGTGAATAAAAACCCCGTTAGTGAGACAGGGTATGTCTTGGAGTTAGCAATTATAAACATACAAGTTGGCTTATTAGTCCATCTTCAAATTTTTACCTCTTAGAGTTTGTGTTTCTTCCTTCAAGTGTAATGCAAGCTCTGTGGTCACTGGGATCACAGCAAATGATTGCAGAGTGTTCTTAAGGTGACCATGGGCTCCCACAGCTCCTGATGATCTGCTTTGCACTGAACTTCTTACACTTTTTGTAAATGTATTTGTTTGTATACATGCTATTCCATTCAAAGCAGTTTGTGATGTACCTTGATAATCAAGTGAAATAAATGTCAGCTTTCCTAAGGTGAATGTGGGTTCAGACTGGGCACCTGAAAAGTCTGTTCCTCTACTTGCAGTGGAAGAGAGTGCAATTTTTTTTCTTGGACCGGAAGACATCAGTGGGGAGACTTAGGCAAATCACTAATTAGGAGGAACTAACACCAGACTTTCAAGCACAGTAATACTTTTCACGTTGTTATAGAAACCCTCTTCATAGGGAGAATGACATAATGTTTTACTTTTTCCTTTGTAGTCTTCTGGCATAACAAATAGATTGGATGAGATGTGGCTGAGAGCCTACAATGCTGTTCTGCATGTTGTTTCTTTTTACTCTGCAATTCATCTGTGACTATAGAAACTTTGAGGATGAATTTAATCCTATGACACAAAAACAATGTGATTTAGGCCTGCTATTGTAATCTGAGGGGAAATTTCAGTGATTTTCCCAGAATATTGAGAATTTTGTAAGTAGAGACATACAGGCAGTAAAACTGCTCACACCCAACCAAGGTTGATCTAGCTTGTAAAATTCAGTACAGAAACATAATTACTTTTCATTTTACATCACATTGCTAGTTCTGGAAGATGAAATCAAGATTAGACAAATTAATCTAAAAGAAGATTCTTGGAATTTTCTTCTATATAAACAGCTCCCAGATGTGCAGTCATCTGGTTGCATCAAAGGTGTGGAAAACAGAGTGGCTGGTGGCAGCGACTGTTCAGCCCAGTACAAATTTTTCCAAAGATAGATCATGAACTTTTATCTTCACTGGGATTAACTGGGATTTGAAAGGGACAAGTCCTTAGGGTCAGAATGCATGCATCCAAAGACTGTAGCATAATACTAACTGCTGAAGAACTGAAGTATAAGACTTTTCACCCTACAGTCAAATATCCTGAACTGGAAAAAATCACTATTACCAGCAACAGCAGCTGGAAACTGTTACAAATGATTCCAGCAGAGAACACATAATGCCACTGTAAATAAAATTGAATAGCTTGATGGTCCAGTGTCCCTGTGTCTCTTTGGGGAAGGGTTAATCTTTTTGTTTCAATAAGTATATAGTGCCTAAAAAGTCAAAATCTTTGGTAGAAACTTCACGATCCTTCTGCAATATCATAATTAGGAACTGTTATTAGTTTGTATTTATGCCTGTGAACATTCATATTGGTGTATCTTTGTTTGCTCATTGTGATAAAAAGAATTCATTTCCAAGAAAAATCACATAATTATTGCATTAATTTGTTAGTATTGTCAAATAAAATTGTTCAAAAAATAAATTACTATACTATTGCTAAAGTTAAGAATATAGGTAAACATGCATAGGCAAAGTAGAAGCTTTTTTTAATCTTTGGTATTTGTTCATATAGGATGCATGCAGAGGTACAAAAAATATTTTACTAGGAGAGTAAGTTTCTCAGCAGTTGCATAAAATGAACTGAAAAAATAAATGCCTTGGTGATAAGATTTCTGAACGTTTTATTTCTGTATTGGGTTTCTGTAATGGGTTATTTACATAAGTGCAGTGGAGCAGAATAAGGTTGATTTTTCAAGTAGACAGAGACTCTGAATATTAGAACTTGCAATCCTCAGCACTTTTAAAGATCTAGTTCTAAGAAAATGTTTCATCTTCTAAGAAAAAAGTATACCACATGCATAGTCTTTAAATGCTTGTTACTGAGGCCAGTCTTAAAATGTTAGAAATAAGTGCAAGCCATTGAAGAGCAGTTATTTGCTTTTACCTACACATATAGAGGAGACTAAAATAATATGACTGATGGATAGTTTATTATAATTGCTGTCAGAAATAACAAAAATGTCATACTTTCCCAGTGAACAGTTGACTCGAAATTCAAGTTGTATATTGACATCCTTATCTTATAAAAATAGAAAATAAACCCAGATTTCATAGAAAGGATACCTGCTGCTATCTCTGTTATATCTGAATTGTGAATGTAGTATGCTCTAAATAACTGGACTTCTCTAAAATCCAGTGTTGTTATATGTGTGTATATGAGTCAGTGGATAGCTAAATACTGCCCTGAGTAGAGTATATTTTGCTGAACTGATATACTTCCTATGCAAATATTTGGCTATTTTGATAAATAATTTCTATTTAATGTGGGGAGGGTTGTATTCCTTAATTTATGAATTTTCTATTTATCACTATTATATTAATTAGCTCTTCTACTTTCTGAGAAGCATTTAGTTGGTGAAATATGTAATCAGAATTGTTCTCATTTTTATCTCTATGGAAAGCAAAATATATTGGTTCAATGACTTTCCCAAAGCTGCAGAAAGAAATGATATCAAAATTAGAAGTAGAATACTGAAGAACAAATCAGGAAAAAACTGGCATTGACTTTGACAGTGCACAATTTCATCAGGTATTCTCTCATCCATGGATTAGAATTGGATCAATGTATTTCAGTTTTGAAATAATATGTTGAATGAATCCATTCAGCAATACGTATTCAGTACATTGCTTCAGACCCTGAGTCTCATACACTTCATGTCTTAAAAGTATCAATGTAAAGCTTCCCATTTTCAAAGGATGACAATAGTTTATGAGTTATTTACCTGTTAGGTGGCTGTTCACTGTTAGGCAGTGACTATCTTAAAAAAAGGCCGTGTCAGCTCTGATAACTCATGTTCATGTAACACATGATTTTTGTAGTATATATATATATTTAGCCTAGTGCACCCAGGGTCATTATGTTAGTTATTGTGTAACAAATGTAAAGAAATATAATCTGTCTATAACAATGCTGTTAATGCGGATAGACACTGTAGGATTTGACAAGAAAGACAGAGTAGGTACAAACTTACTTTGGAATATTTGGGATATACCGGATGATTTTCAATATATTTTATTAGAAATTCCTAAGCAAAGGATTAAGCACATTTCATGTTGGGAGACCTTTCATGTCTGAAATCTATTCTAAAAGAAGAACAGTCTGCAGCCGTAAAAAAAAAGTTGTAAGGAAAGAAAGAATTAGTCAAAAAGAAACCTGTTACTTCTTAATTTATGAGTTAGAACAAGCTTCATTCCAGCAAAACTTGTATCTTAGCACTCTCACAGCACAACAGTGACACTGTGATATCTTTATATGACAACAGCTTGAAGTAGTCGGAAACATATCATGACGTCCAGTGGAATTGGAGGCCGAATTTCATTTCCATCCAGGCGAAGATAGCGGAGGCGGGGTATATTACCATAAAAACCATAGTCTTCTGCAATGGCAATTGAGACTGGGCATATCTGAGTACCATTGACACCTGCAAATGTTAATCAAACATGTTAGTTAATTGTCAGGGGAAACATGCATGAAAATAAACTGCATTTTGAAAAGATAACACAGCCTCACACTGATATTTGTATAGGAGACATTTTTTCTTTTTGGCTTTGAGAAATGCTAAATTAACAACTAACTGCTCTTTTGGTCAAATAGTGTATTAGATAATGCAATATATATCAGTTAATTATATATTTAATGCACTGAAATTATGACTAAAGAGTCACTAAATGCATAATTTTATCTTGAACAGAGAGAAAACTGGCTTAGGTAACTACCTGGGTAAATATTCATTGAGACATAACTCTTTGACCTCAGAGAGAGCAGAAAAAATTAATGCTGAGGAATTTTGAACATCTTACTTCAATGATGGTTTATCATTGTTTTAGCATCAATTAGTTTTAGCAGATAATATTCTCCACTGAGAATCTGATATTCAGAATATAATAGTTGAATTGGAGGAACTGTTTGTGTAAAGTAGACTGTGTGCAACCTTTAATAGATGTGATTTCCTGTTCTCTCAATTTCTACAGTACAGTTGGTTTTAATTGCATGAATATAACTTGTGGGATATATTTCTTCCTAATCTGAAAGGCAAAAAGTACTTAAAACTGCATATTTTGTTTTAGTTTAGATAGAATTTGAAACTATGGCTTAAATCATTACCCATTTTCACCAGAGTTGAAGATGTTAATTTCTTTGCATTGTCCCTTATAAACTACCTCTGCAATTTCAGAGAGCAATTTCTTGGCTAAAGGACTTTCAAGCCTGTCTTTAGCTGTTGAATAATGAGCCCACCTTATTTCAGCTTCAAAATGGCCTTATTCCAGAAATCACTAAAGTGGTGTTTATTTATCAAAGACGTCAATTTCATTGGACCAATTTATAGTATTTAGTGAATGATCTGACTGCTTGAGGATCTTGTTGGCCCCAGACCACCTGCAAAAACTACTTGGATGGAGAATTGAACAAATGTTCTCTGAGCAGCCCAGACTACCAAAAGAAAAGAGAATCCTGTTCAAGGCTTTCTCACCACAATTTTTCTCCCTTACATTTAGCAATAAAAATATGTAACACGTCTTCTAATTACAGTCCAAAAAACACTGATTAAGAGTTATGATGGAAATAAAAACCATGAATTTTATCTTTTTCTTTTTTTCCCTCTAAAGGGAGAAATTATTTCTGAATATCACTGTCCAAAACTTTGTAACATCTTGGAGGTGGACTTTGTCTTTGTCATACAAACTAGATAAATACGTCCAGTTAGCCAAAGTCTAAACCATCTGTCATAACCATTACCTTCAAAACCTCTTTGCCTATGTTGTGAAATTTGATTAATGTTTATAAAGTGATTGATATCTTCAGAACAAATAAGCTACAACTTATTTTTATGTGTGAAGGTGTGAAGCAGGAGCCTTGAGAGAGAAGTTTCATTACAAAAGCAGTTGTTAAAGGATGTGATAGTGAGTTAACACTGTCTAGCAGAAATTATGTGTCTTTTCAGGTCACATTGGCTTTCAAAGAGCACTGCTGTCCTTAAAAGATGGCGGTTTCAAGTGCATTCCAAACCTCTGCATTCTCTGATCTAGAGACTATTCCACCGTACTAGTCTTCTCAGGGTTAATTGCTCCAGCTTTAATGAGAGGAAGTAGTTTTCTAACCACACCACCTATGAAGAAGTGATTTCCTGATGATATGGATGATATGGATGATAAAAAAGTGGTTTGACTTTTACTACTCTCTTCCCATGAACAATAAATCCCACCCAAGCTGTCAGATGAGTAAAAACATCTTTCTCTCCCCTTGCCCTCCTGTTCAAGCATCTAATGCCACTGATTTTTGTCAAAAGATGAGGGAGGGAAATAGGCATACCAAAGTGTCTCCCCTTTTGGCAGAGCCCTAAGCTGGAGTTTTCAGCCCAGAGGAAATCACTACTCTGAGAACTGATCTCCTTGGATTACTCGACCTCTTTAAGTTTTAGGAATTCTCAAAGGTAACTAAGAATAATCCTTTCCTAGTGACAGGAATCACTTTCTCCTAAATCCTGAAAAGGGGGTGGGTGCTACGTGGGTACAATTCCTCACACCTAAACTGATCCATGCAAAGGGTCAATTGAAGTAAGCCTTTCAGACTCTGTTTACAAACTCTGGAGAGAGACAGGCATCTCCAAAAGATGAATCATGTTCACTGTCTTAGATACCTATTTTAAGATGGGATGAATTTCCCTCTGACATTGTATATCTCTTTCTATTGACTTTGTAGGGAGTCTGTATGACAAACTCAAACTCAATACTAAACTGGGACGGTTAGTTCAAATGGTCAACAGTACTGGTAAGTGGGATAATATTTAAATGTGAAGCTCAGGAGCTGCTGTAGCGGAAAACCACAGAAGAGGTGCTAATGGCTAATGCTCTATGTCTGCTGAACAGCCACAGAAGATCCTATTGTTTTGGTTTTTGTTTGTTTTTTTTTTTTGCAGTAAAACTCATAACTAACTTCTTGACGCTTAGCAAGTAAAAAAATTGATCTAGAAGATAATTATATTCTGACAGTACTCAGGGAAGATGAGAGAGATAGCATTTCTGTTCTACGTTTGTAGCCTTTAGCATCACCCATTGGTGTGTAACTAAAATAGTTAGACTTCTTTCCTTCTTTTCAGATATCAATTAACTGCAGCAGCCATGGATCAGCCTGGAAATGCACACCTTTCAGGGCTTTTTCAGCAAAGAAGACAGTAACAGTAATTGCCCAGGGTTCTGACAGTAAGTAGGGATCTTTAACTTCAACCATCTTCCAAATATCCTGTGAGGGACTCTGATAAACCAAAGTTCCTACCAGGCTTCAGGACTTCTTCTTTTCTCTCTGAGTGGAACAATATTAGCTCAGAGGAGTTATCATAACCTCCTAACTTTCCACAGGAGAATGTACTGTTATTTTCACTCTCTTTTATCAGTCTGATGATAGCACTATAATACTATCTGCTCAGCTTTGCTCACTCTCCACATCATCAGATGAGATGATGAGAGATCCTTGGTGAAGGAACCGCAGGTGAAATACTAGTTTCACTGAGGCCAGTGAGGAGGCTCTCATTCATTTCGCTGGGCTTCAGGATGTTGCTTTATGTCTTCCTAAATGATCTCTGGACAAAAAAGGCCATGAACTTACATGTGGGACTGATGTTATAGACTAACATACAATAAAAAAGTGGGTAAATGGTATTTACAAATAAATATTGAAGACTGAGCACTTGCAGTACCAACACTGTAGCTATGAACCACAAAGAGAAAATAAAGTTATAACTGGTAGGTATGCAGGGATATGTGAGAATCAGTACTGTAAAGAGGTTCATACTGCACATATCAAAGTAAACTTTCAGGTGGACTCTTTTGTGGAGAAACCAGATTCAGGCTTTTATAGTTATTTTCTTTAAAATTCTTTACACTGGTTACCTTGAAGTAATCATCACCTTCCTGCATTAAAGAACAAAAAAAAGATCCTCAAATCAGTGCCACATCTTATTACTCTTGCCTGACAGAATTGCATTCTTTGCCTTTGATTTTAAAGATCCCTTGAGATATTTTCTGCTAGAGCAGAGTCTAATGGAGAATATATCATTATCTCTTACCTTTTGAACAAAAATTATATGCTCCTGTGATAAAATTTGGTTTGCACAATACCTGCACTTGACCACTTTACATGTAGCTACTAAATATAGTCATTATTTTTGAGAATGAATAAAAACTTCTTTTTTTTTTTAGATTAAGTGTAACATTTTGAAGTACATAAACAAGTAAGGCTTTTCCCATTTTGAAAAGTAGTGAAATCATTTAAGAACATAATTCATATTGAAAGTTATTATGACTTAGGCTTACTGATGTGTCAGTGGAAAATTGAACTTGAGTTTACAGATACTGCATAGGTTGCTGTCCATATTTTTTTTAACCTTTTAAAGTTTTTTAAAGAAGGAAGATAATTTGGCAGCTATTTAAATCCTTGTTTGCTACCTAGATACAAAGCCTATCTTAACTGGACGGGTTACATTCCATTGATTTCAATTTAGTGTCCATTTAAAGTGACAGCAGATAAAGTGTGCACCTGAGGCCCTGCACTAAAGAGATTAAAATAAATCCTTTTGCAGCCAGTAGACACGGAAATTTGTTCAGTAATGACATATGTCTTGAGTCCTATCTCTAATTAACTGTTAGACTTCTAGCAGGCTGTTTAAATAGCAGCAATCGTACATAACTGATTTTTTATAAGGTATTATACATTTGATTTGCTAAGTGTAAACTGAATTAACTTGAATTATTAATAAGTATCTTCCTTCCATATGTCATTTTTCATACAGAAGCCAAACTGTTATTTTTACTATATTTGTGAACTACAGTATCACTACACAGCAATAAGGAATAAGAAATAAGATGTATTCCGTTAATTTACCATGATAGGAAGACAAATGTGCTGCAGTATTCATTCTAGGTCATAGTATTAAGAATTAATTTGTTGGGACCCGGGTATCTTCTGTGCAGTGGTAGTCAGAAAGCAATCAATTTGATTTTGGCTTCTGACGTGGAACTACTGGCTAGCAAAAGTCAATTGCAGATTAGTAAGCTGAAGGATTTGAGGTCTGCAGGACTTGCTGAGCGAGCAATTATACACAGCATCCCTAACCACCACATCCCTGAATGAATGCTGGAAGCCATGCTACAAGCAGAACCATGACATGACAGCATGCTTCTGTTGCCTTGGGGCCAAAAACTTCTTCTGGTTTATACAAAGTGGAAAATCATAAAAGACATTTGAGGAGGTAAAACATAGTAGCACAAAACTTCTGTAAAGTGAGCTACAGGATTTTTCATTAAGAAAGACTAAATGAAAATGGCAGCAATTTGTACACAGAAAACAAAAGATGGAGAGGATATTGGACCCTGAGATATTCAATATTCACATTCTAATTAGACGTATTTGAAATATATTGTGTTGACTGCAGCTAACATTTTATTTAAAGGGTGCCTCACATTAGTTTCCTGCTAGATAATTTACATGAAACAGAGAGATACTCAGAGCGGATGAGCAGACTGCAATTCTTAGTTTAGTGAAATCTTTAAGGTGCTCAGCAGTTTTAGAAATCTAAGCCCTACCGATGTGGACTGAATATCCTGACTGCACCCATGTCGTCATTGTTGTTTCCACAAAATAGTTACTGGCGTGTTTATATGCCAATGTGAACTGACACATTCTCTTTAATCCACTCATATTTCTGACCTGCTTGCTGACCGTCTCTTCTATATACCAATGCACAGTTTCCACATCTGGTATTGCTTCCATGTACGTGTCTTATAGTCATATTTTAGATCTTGACTTGAAAACTGGCCTGTGGGATTTCCTCTTGCTTATCTCCTTATTATCTATAGCACATTTTTAATCTCTTAATATTCAAAAAGTATTTTTCTCTAGATTCATTTGAATTTCATTCTAATATATAAATAGATGGTTTGTCCAAAAATGTTTTGGACTGCTTAGGAAAATAAATGAATGAGTTGATTCTGAGAATTTTCTGGGTTTTTTTTTGTTTGTTTTTAATATATAGTTAAATGTTTTTCTGCATAACCAGTGATCAAGTGTCTTTTCTGTAGTTAAACAGACATTTTAAAAGAACTGCATCTTGGTGAGATCCCGCACTGACAGTACACACTTACTTTTGATTCTGTTGTGATCAAGGTGAAGGTGCTCAAGCTGAGCATTGATAGGTGGAATTTTAGTGAGCTGGTTGTGAGACAGCTGTAGGTCTAGAATAGATGAAACATTAAACCCATTTGGAGGAATACCATCATCAGATAATTTATTGTAGTTCAGCCTAAGGAAAGTCACTTTGGGTATTGTACTGAAATAGTTTTCTGGTATCACTTCAATGGAGTTGTTGTCTAAAAACAGCTGCAGTGTATTAGCTGGAATACTTAAAGGCATTTTTTTGAGTGAATTTTTTGCTATGTTGAGTTGCATAAGATTGCTGAGTCCTTGGAAGGTGTCACTTTGAAGAGCGCTGTCCAACAAATTGTTCTGGTGCAGATCTAACATAGTAAGGTTTTCCAAGTTGCTAAAGACTCCTTCTGGGATTCTGGAGATCTTGTTTCTAGCCAGTCTTAGCTGTTCCAAGCCCCTTGGTAATGGGGCAGGCACCTCTTCCAACTCATTATCTTCAAGGAATAAGTAAAGCAGCCTTTTCAGCTTGCTCAGCACACCATTTTCAATTCCGTCGTTGGTGATCTTATTCTTGTTCAGATTTATCCATCTGAGAAAAGTGGCATTCACAAATGGCTTCTCCGAAATTGTTTCAATGAGGTTGTTTTGAAGATACAGATACCAAATTCTTGCTGGGATTGCAGGTATTTCTTTAAGTCCTTTGTTATCACAGTATAATGCATTTGGAAAACTGGGAGGACAAAAGCACTCTTGTGGACACTCAAAAGTGTAGTGAGACCAATGCTCAGGATCCAGCTCATCATAAACTTGTCTCACAGTTCGAGTCCACACAGAATTGAACAAGAATAAGAGCAAAAGGTTTGGATAGACTTTGAGAGTCATTGTTTTCCTTGGAAAGGGAGAAAAAGAATTAGCTGTCTCTCAAAAGAACACTCTAACAGCATACTAGATTAAAAAAGCAGTACTACATTCAATATATTTCCGTTATAAACAGCCAGATTCTGTACTCTATGGCATTCCTTATGACATGTAAAGGGAAAATTGAGCAGTAATATAAGAGGCATAAACAATGCAGTGGCTATAATTTGAACAACATTTTCCCATTTCAACTTAGACTTCACATTGGCTAGTAATTAAATTGTTGTTCATGCAGGTGTCATTTCAAAGAACCTAAAAATACTGATAATTATCTGACTGAAAGTCAATGATTTTTATAAATCTGTTTCCATTAAGTTTTCCTAGAAGGAACTATTTTGCATAAACTAGTAAATGTAATATATCATCTTCCATAAAGCTATCAATACTATGATGATATTAATTCCATTGTAATCAGTGTTCTCATTTTAAATTAATCATGTTCTTTTCTGTTTTTCTTCTCTCCTAAATTATTATGGCATCTGGATCAGATTTTCCAGGGTCTTTTCTCATCACAGAAAAGTAAAAGATCAAAGAGTGTTTTAACAGCTGTTTGTTGGGCATGTTCTTATAAAGCTTGGAGGGAAACTGTTTGAGTAATCCTTTCCCCTCCCTCATTCACTCTCTCATATCCAAAGTTATGAATTTTCTTCTCTAAAGCAAAGAGCCAAAACAAATGATCAATGTAAATTGCATAATGGATAAGTCCTCCATCAAGTTATATCATATACATTCATTCATCTTGTATCTTACATATCTATTCATTTTTTTTAGCCTCTTCCATCGTTAAACAGTGAACAACACCATCAGTGATAATTTGCTCCAAGAGACAACATTTGGGTTACACAGTAACAGCGATTCAGAAACTGTGTTGTCTTGTCTGCTTTCTGATGAAGATTAGCAAGCATTTTGCAATGCAGAGGCAAAAGACCGACAGCCGAGATTTCTGGTGAAAACTAGGATGTTAGTTTTGCCAAAAATAAATAGAAATTAAATAAAAAGGTGATTCTCTCATAGGGTTAATGCACCAGTAAGGTTAATGGCTCAGTCAATTACTGTTTATGATATGGAATTATTTAATACTTTTCATAAATGTTATTAGCAGCAGCAAGTGCAGTATCCCACAGATCTCCCCACCTCAGAAACTGCCAACTATCTGGAGGTATTCCAAAAAAGGGCAAATAAAATATTTCTAAAGAATAACATATCTAATTTACACAGTGAAATTGAACCTTCGCACTGTGTAAATATTCGTAATCGTAATAATATTTTTAAAAAGTAATGTAAAGTAATTTACCTTGTTAGTCAAGTTCCTGAAGCTATCTGAAGCCTGTTAGAAATCACTTTAAACAGCAGTTTAAATAGCCTTTGGCTGCTAACCACTGTGTTTGCTTCCTGTCCTAAGAATTAATAGCACATAAAACTTGAAGTACATGCTGGTATTCCCAGATGTATTGCCATACACACCTTATTATCTATTATTTCTAATTTGGCATTGCTTTAGAGTTTGGGCTTACCTCAGCTTTCTTGGATCTTCTTCTCTTTCTATTGGTCACTGTCGTTAGACTGTAATAGTTTGAGTCAGGCTACAAGCCGTGTTCTATGAATACAGCCTAATATATACGCATCAGTGACTACAACTTTTAACCCCTAAAATAACTAAGGCACCTCAGCACCTAGGCAAGAAAAGACAGGAAATCCTGACTTTAATATCAAGCAGCCACAGAAGGGTTTTGATCGTCAGATTTTAGCAGATGAGAACAATTGGTCTAGATGAAACAGGTCAAAGAAAACATACCTTTATTCAAAATTTTTATGAAATGATACTTTAAACACAAGGCTTGCATGCATCATAATTCATTCTCATAATACCTGTATTGGCCACAAAGAATTAAAAACAGTGCCATCTGTTCCTGCAGAAATCTTTTATTTGATTTTGATCAAATGCAGATGCTGCCACGCCATTTAAAGATATAATTCTTGATTAGGAGAAAATAGCAAAAGTATTTGCTAAGAATTGTTAAAAAAGATGTATTTTCCCTTTTTTAAGGATTAAAACATGCCTTTTCTATTCAGAGAGAAATTTACATGTTTTTCTACGAAAATATCATATTCTGCATTGCCTCCTGCAGTGAGCTCTGTTTTTAATTATTAAAGCACCCATTACTTATCTTGTTTTATCATTAATTTAAAGTAAACTTTCCAGCCAACTTGCTATCCAAGGCATAAGTACATATTTCTCACATTAAGTATTTTTTTGGGATTTTGTTTTCTTTTTTAGTCCAAACTTAAAATAACAGCTTGATATCAGGAAAACTATCCACATTCAAAGCCAGAACAACAGCACAAGTATTTTAAGGAAAAAGCTTATGTATGTGAAATACTGCAAACATGAAATATATCTTGATATCTTTTATGACTAGTTATTTTATTTACTTTAATAAAAGTAAATTACTTTAATTCATTTTTTCTATTTTTTCATAATAAAATCTCTGATTACCTATTTAATAATGTTTAATACTTTGCTCCCTAAAATAAGAATGTCTCAAAAGAAATTTAGAAATATACAAAAAGATAAGTAATCTAGTCTTCATTTTAATCTCCACTCTTTCATGTTATCCTGTAAAAAAAGGAAAGCAATCCTTAAGTACATATGTGGCTTCCACTGACTTCAGCAAGGTTAATGTTAAATATGAAAAAACTTTGTTCATAGATATATGTTTGCATTACCTTGTTTTTGTTTAGTAAAAAAATACATGCTTATTAGTTGTTATTTTTACATGGCTTCAGTATACACTTAAAAATAAAACAAGTGCTTAAGTGTTTCACTGCATTTAGAGCTCCAGACTCTTCAACATCACTTACAGTTTATCAGCACTGTTTTTATGCATGACTTATAAAAGTCATGTATAAAATTGATCCTTCATGCATACTATGCTGAATATTTTAAAAGTTTAACTTCATTCAGAGTAGTTTACTTCTAGATCTAAAAATATAGATTTTAGCTTTAAGCGGATGGACTAATTATAAGCACAATAAATAAATATGCTACATTAACCTTTTTATTATGAGTGTCTCTTTAAACACCTAGGCCTTAAAATGTTTCCTTTGACGTCCAGGAGCAGACATGGTAGTGCATGTTAATGAGAGAAAGCTTGTCAGCTGGACTCCACAGAAGAGCGGTGGGGAGAACCTAAAAACAACATTGTAAGAACTTTAAAATACAATTGTGTTTGCAGTTACAAATGATTTAAGAGGCTTCACCATGAAAAGTATATCCACGATTCTTGTAAAAGCCAGCCAATGCAATGTAAATCTGGTTTACATTTGTGCTAAGTCTTCTCAGAGTGTGTGGAGAGGATATGGAGTTATTGAGATCTGTTCACCATTAAAGAATGAGCTGGGACACTCATGATCGCTCTACTGAAAGGCTTAAAATAGTGAGTACTAGTGGCAGATGCCTGTTGTGACACACTTAACCACTAGCTGCCAGATGTTGCACATTTAACAAGAAAAGAAAGGTTGACTTATGTTATGCTTCATGGGGGTCTGAATTTACCCTTTGACCTGGTAATCATTTACAGATGTTCGTTATGTTGTTTTCACAAAAGTCACTGTCAAAGGGACATACAGGCTAGCTTGTGACTGGCAGTGGGACTATTTGTATGAACTACTGCTTGCCAAGGGGAGAAGAAGGTCATAATGTGCCCCTTGTAGATTTGGGGGCCAGTTATTTTATTGGGAAAAAGCACACATGCTGCCGTGCTACTTAAAAATACAGTTCTTCATTAGGAGGAGAAAATAGCAAAAGCTAAGTTTTTTTTTTTTTTTTAATAGCACACATTTTCATTTCTTCTGATGGAAACAGAGGGTAGAAAAAGTGGGGAGAAACATCCTCAAAGTCAGGAATAAAAGGATGTAATGGCTATAATATGTATTCTCGCATGCATCCAAAAGTTTTGGAAAGAGCTGTGCAGGACCATATGATATTTGGATGCCCAAACAGACTTCTTTGCAGAAAGGCCTGCTTTCCGTGAAACCATCAAGATTATCCACAAATTCTTCACGTATATGTTTTGTGCACTTCTCCATCATCTGGTGTTACTATTTATTATTTAAAAGGTGCAATATATGGTGATAAAGTTTTATAGACTAATAAAAGACCATGGTCAAGGTTTTCAAAAATAACTAATGGTTTAGGAGGCTTTTCTTTTTGAGTATCCGACTTGAGACACTTTCCAGGTCCTTATTTTCAGTAAGTGCTAAGAATTTTGTGCAAAATCAGACTATTTATTTTTAAGTTGCAGAAGCTGCCCAATCAAAGAAAAACAATTAGTTAAATAGACTACTCCTGAGCTCATGAATAGTCTTTCAAAAGGCAACAGTATGCAAGGTATTTGCATGACAGTAAAAGGACACGTGAAAATTATTACAGTGCAAATCCTGTGGATGCCCATTCCATGGATTTTGAAGATCTTTTGGAAAGCTACTGTTGTGAGTATCCTAACTTAAAGACGATGTCTCAAGCTGAAACAGGATTTTTGCTCCATGTTTCTCTTGGAGATCCACGTTGTTGATCAGTGCAAAATGAGAATCCCTAATAATGAAATCAAAAAGTAAGGAAGAGCAACAACCATGGAGGGTAGTATCATCTCCTTGGGCAGATCGATGTACATTCATGAGCCTAGAGTGGCCCACATGCTTGAGAAAAATTAGAAGGGCTAAAAGGAGAAAGCCTAGAAAGACCCGCTTCCAGACAATATGGACAGCTGAGAGTGCTGTAAGAACTTTTGCTCTGTTTTAGTGTTGCAAGTCGCTGACAGGGAAAAAATGCATTACTTTCTTTCAATAATGGCTGCCATATGTCTCAGATTTAGTACGATGCAAGGTCTGTTAAACATCAAGCATGTGTATAGTTCATTACCAACAAACCCAGGAGTATAATGCAAGCAGAAATAATTCACTAGCCCTGTGAATTGCTCCATTTAACAAAGGCTGGAATCCAGTGTGCCTAACTTGGGCACTGCTCTACTAAAATGTTAGGTTTCTCGCTCTACTAAAATGTGAAGTGTTTTGCTCTACTAAAGTGTTAAGTGTCTTGCCCCAAAGAACAATCAGTTTGCCTGAAATGTGCTTTTAAATTTCTTTCATGATTAATAGAGGAAAGGTGATGCTTCAAAATCTGCATAAAGAGAGTAGACCATGCAGTTTAGGCATCCTCCGCTTCTCTCCATTTACTCTGTCTGTAGCTCCAGAAAGCTGTGCAGCCTGCTTAGGTCAGGTGTTTACATTTGCTCATTGTTCAGTCTGCCTCCTTCACTTCTGAAGACTGGCGTATAGTGGTGATATGTCTCTCCTTCTGGATTGTCTTTTGTTGCTTGAAATATTGAGAGTAGGAAGTGCTGAATTTCAGGACCTACCTAAAATCGGAAGGACAAAACTTTCTATTTCCACTGACCACCAGGCTGTGATCCATCCCAATTAACAGTATGCTCTGCTCCTCTTCAAGAGGAGTCACAGTACAGCAGGTATGCAAAAGCCAAGGAGTCTAACAGAAAGCAGACGAGTAAGCCCTTCAGCCTCACTCAATGGATAGTGCAATTAGCTCGGACGGGCAGCACAAACGCTCCAAACCCAGCTTCTGTAATTTCATTTTACTCTACATCATTTTTGGAGAAAAAACAAAGCAGACTTAGGAGCAGGGATTGTGACCCTTTGCTTTTCTTTCAGTAAGATCAAGGCCCTACTTTCCTTCTCCATAACAGTTGCTTTCCTGGTTGTACAGAGGTTCAGCATCAAGAGGAGAGATTCTCTATCAGACTCGACCAAAGGTGCTGAAAGAGAAGGAGTAAGATCAAACCTCCACAGGCTTAAATGGAGCCTAGAATTTTCCTGCTCTCAGTGTGAGGACTGGCCTCTCTTGTTTAATTAGGCATTTTTGTGCGCATGCAGGCAGCAAAAGTACCCAGGGAGCTTTCAGGTTAGATTAGAAGGCGAGGTTAGGTTAAAGGAGCTCTGCAAGAGTCGGACTGTCTTATTTTGTGGAATGTGAATGTCACCAGAGTCCTAATTTATATGGAAGATCCTAATTTAGGAAGATCAGATCCTACCCTAAAAGTCCTGACACAAATTTCTGACAGTTTACTTTCTGCATATCCTCACTCCTGTGTTAAAATCGAAATGAGAACTAAGTAATTCAGCTTAAAGATATTCTTGCAGAGTAGCACGTTTCAGAACAGGATGACTGTGGAAAGAAGGCTCAGCTTTTATGGGAAATACAGATCTTTCCTGAATATGGTTCATTAAGGAATTATTTGGCTGTCTGTTCCCTTTCTCTATTTCGAGCTCTTTACCACAGTGACACCAAAAAGGTTCCACAACACAATGCCAAGATCTGAAA